TGATGGTGGTGATGGTGGTGATGGTGGTGGTGATGGTGGTGATGGTGGTGGTGGTGGTGATGGAATAGTATATCTAAGCCACATGGGAATCGAGGACAGACTTGGGACTAGTACTCAGGTCTCTTCTCTAGCCCAAACTGTCCTAGATCTGCCATTCCTTGATTAGCAGACCCTCCCACCCTCTTCCCTCTCTGTCCTCCTGTTTGTCACCGTCTCTTATCCAAGGAGAGCCAGAGCTGAACACACATTCTCTGTTCAGGGGCAGTGCAGGGTGGGGCAGACTTCTTAGGCCCTGGACACTATGCTCCTAGTCACTTGGTCCACCCGAGGGCCTGAATGCTCTGAGGTCCCTTCACTAATGGTCCGCACTGAGCTGGTGGCTGGTGGAACCCGCCCTTCCTGCCCTTTTTTGGCTCCCAGCCCAGGTGCTTTGGCACAAATTGAAGCCAGGCCAGGTTTTCCCATGTGGCCCTGACAACTGATGTGTTGGCTTCTGAGCTTTAGATTTTCTATACTAAATTTCCGATGTGGCCTTGACATTGACAGCTCACTGCAGCGGCAGAGAATGTGGGTTCTGGAGTCGGCCAGGACTACATTCAGATCCACTGGGTCCGTGCTAGCTGTGTGCTGCCCCTTCATCACCATCTGGTTCAATCTGGTTCAACCCAATAGGTGTTTATTGAAGGCTGGTTCTATCACCAGGCCCTGCACTGGGCCCTGGCAAGACCCAGCTTCTGGCCTGGAGTGCTTGCTCAAGGCCTAACAGGGGAGACTGACCAGCACCCAGAGTACAGCGTCTTCATTAGCCATGGTTCCACACCGAGAATGGGCAAGCCACGGTCACCTCGTCAGAGATGTCATGACTGACCACTCAGAACACGAGGCTCCATGCATCGCTGTCTGCCCAGTCTGCGCCAGCATCCAGCCCACGCCCTGCGCTCGGCCTGGCTCATCTTCAGAAGGGAGCACGATTCAGATCAGATACAAAATGACACGAAGATACGGGATTTCACCGCAGCGACGAAAGGAACACTGGAGTCCGCTGGACTCCTCCCCAAACCGCTGACCAAGGAGGAGCTGGCCAAGGTAGACCAGATGACAGCAAGAGAGGGTGACAAGTTATGCCTTCAAAGGAGGGGGCTTGGCTTTCAGAGGGTTAAGAGAGGCCCCTGGGGAAATGAGGAGGGCAGGAATATTTCTGGGGAGCGGTCATCCTGCACAAATCGGACCCGAGGGAGGGACGGCAGACATGCCTCAGAGAACACATACGATGGCAGCCGCCCTGAGAGTGGCATTTATTGGGGGCTCATGGTGGCCGGGACGTCACTAGCATCGCGTTCACAGAGGAAGATGAGGCTCAGAGCACAGCGAGAGACGGAGGTGGGACTCAAGCCTGGGCTGCTGACCTCAGAGTCTGTCCCCAGCCCCTCCCTCCAACGTCCCCTTTCCCAACTGTCCTGTCCCAGGCCGGGAGCCAGGGACTTCTTCAAATGCTCTCAGTGAACCACCAAAGATGCCGGCCAGATCCTGGCCATGGTTTTAATACTGATACTCTGTCTGACCCAGGCGCTGACCTTCGGGGTCTAGCCAGGCCACACCGGCAGCCGGAACCCTGTCAGAGGGAGTGGCGGTGGGGGTCGGAGCAGAGCATGACCACGCGCCCCCACCCGGACCGGCCCACAGTTCTAAGGGCTTTGACCTTGATGACTTGGGAGCTGCCAAGCTGGAAGATTTGGTCCTTCTGGAACACCACCTCCTGGGAGGCGGGGGGAGTGGCCTTCTGGTCTCCGCTGCTCCAGCGTGGGGCTTCATCCTCGCTGGCCTGGGAAAGCTGCTCTGGGGCCAGAGTCTTCACCTTCGAAGCCTCTGCTGGCCAGGGGTGGCATTGGGCAAGGGTGAGGGTGGGACAAAGGCCGGCTTGGGGTCTAGACTGGGACAGGCAGGAGTGAAGGTGGGGCCACTGGTGGTCAGGGTCAGGCCTGTGCCCACTGGGCGAGTCCATCACAGGGCTACGGTTGAGGTTAGAGGTGGGTTTGGGGACAGACTGGGGGGACTTGAGTTCGGCAGTGCCGGTGTGGGTTTGGCGGAGGCTTCGGATGGGGTGGGGGTGAGTCTGCCGGGCGGGCGGAGGCTCACCTCTCTGGCGCAGCAGGAGGCAGTAAAGATGGCCCAACCCTTCCAGGCTAGAGCGCTGGGTGGCCACGTCCGGGTCCTGGCACAGAATCCCCAGCATGCCCATCAGCTGCCCCATCCATCTGAGGTCGTTGTTTGGCTGTGGGGACAGGGCAGGGGAACCACTAAAGGCAGAGCGCACCCACGGAGCCCCCACCCGGCCGTGTGCTCAGCCCGGCACGTCGGTGTCAGGACAGGTGCCCTCAAAGTGTGCGGGACGGCTGGGACCGGGATTAGGGAAAAATTTAAGGGGTGGCCAAAAAACTCAGAAATTAAGAGAAATAATACTTTCATGTGATATTTAGAAAAATCAAAATGAATGGAAAGAACCACGATGAACAGGGTTTCAAAACTAAATAAAGACAGCATCCCGCCCTATACTTCTAAGACCGTGCCTCACCCCAATCCCAGACCTGGTTCCAACAAAACTTTACGACAGCGGGCGGCCAGCCCGGGAGCCACAGTTCGCCGGGTTGATTGTTTAGAACATCACATTAAACATCACTTATTTTCTTTTATCTGGATTGCAGAATGTTTGGCACCCCTGTAAATGTTGCCCCTGAGGCAAGGGCTGTGGAAATTGATTATAAGCAGATAGAAGCCACCTTGAACCCCTCCAGAGGGGTCCTCCTCGCCATAGGAAGCTGGGGGAGTCTGTCCGCGAGCTTTCCCTTGTGAGCAGTCCCTGCTCCCCAACACAGCCTCTCCCCTTAGGGAGGCACGTCAGCCAGGCATCAGGCCCAGGAACTAATTTCCTCATCGCCCCATGAGGCTCCCTAGGAATGAATGCTGATTTGGGCTGATAAACGCGAACCGCTCGCTCCCTGAAGACCAGCTGATGTTCATTCGACCCAGGGGCGACGGCGACAGGTGGAGGTTAAGCTGGGAAACGTGAGCGGGTCAGCTTCGTGGTGGCCGGAGGGCGGGGGGATGGCGGGCGCCCCACGCGGTAACTGCAGCCCCAGTCTGGGGCAGGGCGGCACACCTGTGGGCGCTTTGCGGCCCGCCTCATCTGATTCCCGCTGTACCTCTCTGGGGAGGACCCATGTCCTCCCATTTCATGAGGAATTGAGGTTCAAGGTGGAAGTTCGCGGTGCTGATAAGAGCCCAACCTCCAGAGTCAGGGGTCGGTCAGGGCACCTGGCTTCAGAGGCTAGCTGGGGAGGACTCGAGAGGTCCTTACCCTCCACCCCCAGCCTGTTTCAAAAGCGGGGTTACCCGGCTGGTGCGGCGCACACAGGGGTCCACCCTGAACAGTGAACCTCGGCAGGCTCTGGAAGCAGGGTGGCTTGGCTGGGACAACAGAGGGGCTCTGGGGCATGGGGCCGGCCAGCCGGGCACTCACGTGCAGGTACAGGTTGTCGTTCAGGAATCTGAGGAGGGCGGCGCAGCTGCGCACAGCCCGCTGCCGCTCGTGGGCCTTCTCGGACACCAGCCAGACGTACAGGTGCTGCAGGGGCGCGGAGGAGTGTTGCAGAGTGGACGTGGCTCCGGCCAGGCTCCGCCCCGCCCCAGGCCCGGGCCCCGCCCA